TGTTATCTATTATTTAAAATTTGAATTTGTGTTTAAATTAATGATGGTGGTGGTGGGGGACAATGATGACGCATATTTGGTGGAATTGGTTTGGGAAATGAGGGGAAAGGTGTGGATTGGCCTCGATTTTTCTTTTTTCTTTTTTTTTTTACCCTCAAATTTTTGTTCTCTATTCTTTTTTCTACTCTTTTGTTTAATTCTAATTATTTCGATTCTTCTATTTTAAATCAAACTAAGGATTCAATTATCATTTTAATCCAAATTTGACCATTTAACTGTCAAACTGACTTTTTTTTATTAAAATCTCAATTGCTATTTTAAAGTTTTGGGATTTTGAGTTCTAGAAATAAAAGGTTAGGGACCCAATGGTAAAAAAATTCAATAGATAGGGGTCGCTTGTGTTATTTACCAGAACTTTATTAGAACTAAATTAAAGTTTAATGCTCATGGTGTCTATGAGTGAAAAGTTCGGCAGCCATGTTGAAATAAATAAAAGTTCAGTGGTCATTGAAAAAAAAAAAAAGTTTGATGATCATGGTAACACTAAGTGAAAAGTTCGATAACCATGTAAAATAAATTAAAGTTCATTGGTCATTGTGACACCAAGTGAAAAATACGACGATCATGGATGAAACCATAATAAAAATTGTGGTGTGAATATTGTCGGTGTTCGAACTCACAAAAACCAAATCGAATTTACCTTTAGTTTAAGGGGAGTTTATAAAGATTCAATACACTAGGTCTACTCGGCCCTTAACAGGTCAGCTCGATCCATGTTCGTCGTCATCTAGAAGCATTATCATTGCAATCCTAAATGCAGGTCTCTTAATGACGTCAGCACCGCTCGAATGGCCAATTCCAAAACGACAAGTGACACCATGACATCAACAATAATTTTCAGCCAATCAAAATTCAAACAATGATTACTTAGGTGAAAAGTAATCATGATCTAGACCACACCTACAATCTCGGAATCATGATGATCCATTCGATCGACCTCAACAACCTATCACAACCTTAAGCCCTTGCTTGGTGGGAATTAAAATTAGATATTTGGTAAATTTTGATGGAAGTTTTTGAAATATGTGTTTGAAAAGTTATGGGACTCATGAAATATGTTGTTAATTTTGATTGTTTGACTTCGATTAGAATCTTACTTTAATCAATATCAAATAAACGCTAAATTTGGACGGTGACAAAAGTAATCTTATACTACACAATAATTAAAAGAATTAAATATTTGTTTATTATTACAAACTCCGTCTGTTAGAAGTAGCTTCTTAAGACTTGAAAGTTGAAACACACTTAAAAAAAAATGAAAACAAAAAATATTCTCGTTTGTAGTTTTATAATATTCCCACCTTCAAAGGCCAAAGCATATTCGTCCTTTTCACCTAAAAATAAAACAAAATGTAAAAATTGTTGAGTTTTCTAAAAGTTGATCAACCCTCAATTTATTGGAATTTTATGCTAGCACCATCGGAAAGAGAGGATATGATTTATATATTTCAACATATTTATGTTCGGTATAAAATTAACATTGACACGATTTTACTTATTTTTGTGAAATTATATATTACTATAAAAGAGATTTACAATGAAGGGTGCATTATAAAGCAATCCGTATTCCACTTTTTGCTCTAAAAATGAAGAAAGACGTGTAAATAAATGACAATTTGGGTTTGAATAAACTATTTCACGTTTTGTCAGACACCCTTAGTCATAATTTTTTTCAACAATTTCTTTGGAAATAATAGGTCACTGGTTATGTTCTCATTTATTCTTAACATGTCTTCCACAAGTCTAAGTCTATACCCTCGCTTCCATACTTAGCTTGTGTCTAAGCCCCATTTTCTTCCATTACCTCTCATTTTCTTCAGTAAAAAATGGAGGGCCAGTGGGACCCACGTTTCTTTTGCATGGATTGTCCCTGACACATAGGGTTGCAAATGTTGAATTCCAAAATTGAAGACAGTCACAATTTTATGAAAATGACGTTACTGCCCCTCTTATGGATAATGACGTTGCTCACATGAGAATAAAGACAAAAAATCATTACGTCTATCCACGTTAGCATGGAATTCATTTTCGGGCATGATTTTGACGAAAATAATATTTTTGCATAGATTGCATCGAGACAAATTCGCACATTACAACATGCATTCCATTAGTAAATTACGCTTTCATACCGGCTTTTAACAATAAGGTAGCGTTAACCTAGTCAACGTATGGTGTGCGCTATGTAATCTTGTAATTGGGTCCACGACACATTCTCGTCCGCAACGACATCCTCTTCCGCTGCTAGTTCGTCTTCCTCATCGGGTAACTCAACCTCAACTTCTTCATTGTCGACTTCCTCGGCCCTGTGGAATCCTTCATCGAGTCGTCCGTTGCGCCGCAGGAAATTATGGACTCCCATTACTGCCACGACCACAGTGATTTGGGCTCGATATGAATAACTAGGCATCCTGTCCAGAATCTTCCATCGTAGCTTCAAAACTCCGAATGCACGCTCAATAATGTTTCGACATGATGAGTGATGAAAGTTGAACCTCTCGCATGCATTACGAAATCGACGTCGGCCGCCTCCATGATCGTGAAATTCTTGGAAGTGGTAACGTGCATCTGACCCCTTGTACGGTGCCATGTACCCCGGCCGATGTGAAAATCCAGAGTCCACCAAGTAATATTTCCCTTCAGCCGGTTCCGAAAAGTGTACGTCCGGACTATGCGCCGCGCGGGCTAGTATGCTGTTGTTGTGCATGGGGCCCATGCTTCTTGGTAACACAAATGTGAAGCACAAGTTGAAATCGCACGCAGCCAAGACGTTCTGAGTGGGCACCCCTTTTCGGCCTATAAAGTTAATTCTTTTACGCTGTGGCAACACCGCTCGCACATGAGTCCCGTCGATAGCTCCAATACAATCCTGCGACGTCCATTTTCAGTGCACGTCAAATACTCGAAAAAATTATGCTCACTGTTACTGGAGCACCAAGACAACATGTAGCAACATAAATGTACCTGGAACAACCGATATCGGTGCGGATCAGGGTGATGACTTGTAGCGCCACAGTTGTAGCTTTCATGAGGCCGGAACATGTCTGCTACCGGCGCACCGACGGCGCGAAGGACACGCTTGGAATAATGGTCGACGGTCTACAGTGAATATCCAAACAACGTTTGTACTTGGTGATATCCCTTCCCGTGCGCCATTATACACAAAAACATTCCAACCTGCTCGTACTTATCGATGCTCGTACTGTTTTCCAATCTGTAGCGATCTCTCAACACATGTACAAAGTGCCTGACCATGGGCGGGTACATTCTAAACTCCTGAAAGCACGTTTGGGGGTACACATGCATGTTCTGTGAAGATATGACCGCTTCGTGTTGTAGGAAATAAGTAACGGTGGGTCGGATCCGGCAGGAGGTATTGGCGTACCATCCGCTCAGCGATACGACAATACTGTAGCCACACCACCATATCCGCTTCCAAGTGATGCAGTACGTCTTCATCTGAACCATCGTCCGAACAGGAGTTCGACACGATGTCACAGTCGGTGTCCGATGACGTATGCGAACCGAACGTGTCTGTCATCTCCAACAACCGAAGGAACGACACAAAACTCAATTCATTGTACTCGTCAACATCAACTTGCAACTGTGATTCGGATAGTAGTTGCGTGACCCACTACTTCGCCAATTAGGGGAATAACCTTCTTATAACAGGATACTTTGCAATGCATGCAATCAACATTGTATAGTTAGTGCTGACAATTATTGATTCCACTAGCATGCCTATAGAAGGTGCAGTGACTGTGCGATATATGCGTTGTACCACGCGGGGAATCTTCGCTTCAACAGACACAATGTCATTTTCCTAATTGTTAGTAGTTGGATTCCAACGTTCACGTAATAATGGAGTCTGTGGGAAAACATTATTGATGCGCAAAGATTTGGCCCTTCCTAAATTGTTTACGTGGTTTGCAGTTATATGCAATACACGAACATACTGTTGATAATTATGGAGTCTATGCGAGTGCATTATATGGGGAAAATTATTTGCTTTTCTAGAGTCATTGACCTTTTTGTGAACTTGTCAGAGTAGGAAGACAGCGTTTATGCAGTGGTTGATTATGTGCTACGCAATTATTTATGGGGAAAATTAGTTGCTTTTCTAGAGTCATTGACCTTTTTTTGAACTTGTCAGAGTAGGAATACAGCGTTTAGGCAGTGGTTGATTATGTCCTATGCAATTATTTATGTCCAAATTTATTTATCTACCCTAAGCAATGACATCACATCAAGCTATTAGGGGTAGAATTATGTAAATGTACATAATAATTGAGTCCCCTGTAGGAACATATTTCTCCATCAGTTGTTGCTTCCTCACAGCTATGAGTCTATTTCTCTATGTTGCAGGAGCAGACTAAACACTTTAAAAAAACAATCTGTGCTACATACAGACTTATGAAAGTTTACAGTGTATGCCGTTCCAGCAGTTATTGAATTGTTACACGTTGTAGGAATATACGTCATTGAAAATATGTAATAGTTGTGTATGTGGGCACGACGTGTTTTAGCCCGAATTTTATCGTTCAGCGAGCTATTGACAGCCTTTACGACGTTCACGGGTACACGGGGATGAAATAGTTGTTGACGTGCATGGAAATGAGTCAGATGCAGATATTTTCATTACATTCAGCAGTACGAAATACATAGCGCACATGGTAGTAGTGCGCAAAACGTGCAAACAAGAAGCCGAACAACAAAGTATTATTACAACAACCCCTACGGATGATAATTTAGAAGGCGTTCAAACGAAAGCAAAGCAACGACACATACAGTCTGAGCATGATCAGGGGCTCCCAGAACCCGACATTTTGTCGCGTTCAAAACAATACGCGATTCACTTGTAGCGCATCTCCGACGTTTTAGCTGCACTGTACGTAACACGATTTTCGGAGTTTCGTAGGAACCACAACGTGAACATGTGTAACTCATCCTCGGCTTCGATAAGCCCAGTCGAAAGCATCATCTATGCTTTCGTGGAGAGTCATACGCCCCTCTTCTTTTGTGCGGATCGCAGAGGCCATCTCCTTCGATGCGCAAGCAAGGTTGTCCACCGACTCAGAAACCTCCCTCGCCCCGAACTTCTTCCGCTTCCCCTTCGCATGTTTTTCCTTAGGTTTCTTGCCGCTTCGATGCAGGGAGATATTTATCAAGGAGCTCGCTCTTCTTGGAGTCGGGTTGTTGCTCGAATCTGTCTTCTCGACATTGATAGGTAGAGTGTCGTTCAGATCATCTGAGTCGGAGTTGGCGCCCAAGTCAAACCCACGTTGCGATAGCTTCGTGGGTATCAGTGCGTATTTCATGGAGTCACAACTACCTCCAAACAGACGGCTATATTTATGGTAGATCTGCGTGTTGTCATTGTCCTTGGACTTTCCATACCGAGGGTTCTCCTGTAATCGAACACGGGAGCATTAGTAAAGTGTTAAGGAGTTGTTCAACTTTCAAAACGTTTCTAAGCAAGCTAGTATAACTTGTCAGAGTGTTTACATGTGGTTACCTTAATTTTCTGCTTCCACCACCATTCCGGAGCGTCAATTCTGCCCCCGGTGCTCAAACCACAAGCTATTCCCGTGCACTGGAGCAGCTCAAACAATAGTTTGTGGTTCGTGCGCATAGCACCCCAATGGTTTTTCAGCTGTGCAATAGTCCAGTTTTTCTCAGGATTTTTGTTGAACAATTCGCGTAATCGCTCCCACCCTGTTGAAGAGAAGCACTTTCCACGACGGTGTCCCTCTGCAGTGACGTGTTCGGCGACGAACATGAAGATCTTCTGCTCTCGAGGTTCCCATCTAGCACACTTGCGAGGCTCCGGCCTGTTTTCCATGTTCGGATTTGATGATGCGATGGGCATGGCGTCCGGATTTTGTGTCATATATTTCTACGCAAATGTTGCACATCATAGTTGTAAGAGCTTGTGAGAAAGCACAAATGCAGTGCAAAGGTGTGAATGAAATGGTAGTGTGGCAGCTCTTCAATTCAGTGTAATAATGTAATTGTAAAGCTCAACTAATTGCTTGCAATATGAGCTTCAAAGTGTGAATGAAAGGGTAGTGTGGCAGCTCTTCAGTTCAGTGTAATAACATAATTGTAAAGCTCAACTAATTGCTTGCAATATGAGCTTTTATGCTATAACTGTATATAAAAGAGTGTGAAGCCATACATGGATACTTGGTAATACTTATGTTAATGAGAAGGACTGATATACTGTGAATTGCAAAATGGGATTTTCGTATACATATAAATGCAAATTAATACAAACAATTCCAAGCATGCAATCAAGTGCTAACTCCATTAACTTTCTGGAAGTGTTACAGAAATGAATTTGGCACTTCACATGGAATAAGGATGGATGTCATTAGCTCTATGACTGCTGTAGGACCGATGTTGTATTAGGGAAAAGTTGGTCTAGCAGAACACATACATAATTTAGGTGTCACAGGGGTGCTATAGGAAGAGCATTGATATAGCCAACCCCGAATAAGTATTGAACTAGGCCTTGTTGAGTTTAATTGAGTGGGTGAATGGTTGCGAGATGTTCCTCTCTTTAGGGATTAGGATGATATTGATAAAAACATACTTCAAAACTACAGGTGTAGTCATTAATAAGCAATTGTTACAGAAACATATGCAACGGTGTCACTGAAATGTAGACTTCTCTTGACTGGAATCACTCAAAATTGGAAGACCAATCTCAATGCTAGTTGATAACTTTAGCACTACCCATTTCACACAATGCAGGAAGAAGGGAGGATACTCTAGATGATGTCGACAACACAAAATGAATTACGTTGCTACTCAAGAAGAACTCAAGCAACCAGTTCAGGACGACGTCCTGTCTCTTCCTGCCAAGCCCCAGCATTGCGCAACAAGATGAAAATTGTGGGCAGTTGCTAGTTATAATTTTAACTCTGTAGTTTTATACCAGCACAAACAATGTCAAGTTACTGTAATTGAAACATGCATCTACTTCCAAGCAGAAAAGCAACAACAACAACGACTCTGGACAAGGTGGATCACAGCAAGATAACAAATGCATTCACATAACCATTTTGTAAATAGGAAACAGAGAAGAAATAAATTGTACTACTACAAATTTGGGACCAATATTTGTCTAGGGAAGCAAGTGAATGGCGGCAATAGCTAACATACGAGGTGCGTGCAGACGTCAATAACTCTGTAGTGGGGATGCAAAACAGAGAGGGGGAACCAGTTCAGTTGAAGGCATACCATGGTTTCAGGATAATAACCAAAACCATCGACGTCGTAGGCCATTTTTGTTTGCTGCAGATCGGAATCCCAGGAAGTTGTTGCACCGGTTGACTGTGAAGTCGAGCCCGGAGGTGATGCATCATCGGGTGAAGATGGTAAGGACACCGATCGTGGCCTCGCACAGGGGTTGACCGGCACTGTTTGACTGAGCAACCTTTTAACCGGCAATATGCAGCTTCGATTTTCTTCGCCAGATCTCGGTGTACTGATTCGCTGGAGATGGAAGGCAATGGGGGATTAGGTTTGTGCAGGGAAGGAGGCAGGTATGTTATTATTGAAGGGCAATTGTGTAAAATAAAATAGGAACTAAGGGGTGTTGCCGTCAATTTGGTCGAAATGTTGTGTGTGCAAATAATAATTCAACCATGTGCCTGCCTGACATTGTCAGAAGTTAGATTCAGAAAAATGTGAATTGGTGGTCAAAAAGTTTGAAAAATGAATGAAACGAAAATGTAATAGGGCTCAGACGGAGGTTAATTAGAAGGACAAAACCTTAAAGCGATATCAAGCTTCTTAGAACTAGAAGGCCAACATGTGCTCGAGAAAAAAAGAGAGGGCTTAAAGGGAATTATACATTAAAATAGCTACATTAGAACAGACTCTAGTACTACTAAACAATGGAACCTAATGGGTGCCATTTCTCAAACCAAAGATAAAAAAGTCACCTTAATAAGGGGTAAATGAAAACACCTCCATGAGCTCATTCACTCATAGAATAAAAAGAATAAACCAATTACTACCCAAGCATTAAACTCAAATATGTAAAATATCATTTCCCAATTCGTGCATTAAAAGACATCAAAGAGTTGCAACTAATGCAGTTCTTACAATATCTTACTCTTTCAAAAGCATTACAAGACCAAAGTACAGACATGTTCATAAATATAATATAGCATTCAGATACAGTACAGTTCCATAACTACAGGGCAGTTCAAGGGTATAGCTTAACCTAATTACAATTGGCGCAAACATTCCGGTGAAAATCACAGAGGTTCCATAAGGATACATCATCCTAACTAGGCAGCGGGTCCATGGAGTAGTCGATTGGTGTTGAGTTGAAAGGTGAATCAAACCTGAATTCAGATATATTCTCGTTTGTGTTGCCATTGGATGAGGGCTTGCACTGATTGAACAAGAAATTTGTTGATGCGAATACAAAACTCCTAGAGGCCATATTTGTATCTTGAAGAATGTTGCCCCTGATACAACTCCGTCTGTTGTAGTAATCGTCTTGTTGAAGTTGTGTCGTTTGCTGCAGCGAGTTTTGAGTTTCTAGAATGTTGAGATTCCCAGAGTTGAAGCTACTGTTTTGCAGAAGATTGTCATCATAGAATGACAGAAGCTCAGAAATCATCTTTTGGCCATCTTCGAGAATTCCAAGGTCAGAAATGTCCATGAAAGGGGGCCAAAAACCCACAAAATAAGTTACAAGATACAATTGATCAAAATAATAGAAATAAACTTGCAGAAAGTAAAGAACACAACAAGATTTTTTGACCGAAGCCCTAGAAGTTCAGTGACTAGGCACCTAATCCCCTGTTAACATCTAATCGAAAGTAGATATTACTCGATTGCACTAAGGCCCCAAAAATAGGCAATCAAAGATTACAAAGTTCAACCACTACAAGAAAACACAGAAAAGAGACTTATCTCTTCAACATGAACCACAAATGCCTCAGACCCCCAACGAATCAACAGACCACATCCCTAACCTCAACACATGAGGACTCTAAACATCACTCTACAAGTATTCAATGGTTAAAACCTTCAAAATACTAATCGAATGAGAAGACCGATTACAAGAAAATAGGGAAGCGGAAAACCCTAACTAGAGAGCACAGAAGAACTCTCACGAACCCTTACTTGAAAAGTCAGACGAATGAATAGTCATACGGCCAAATGAAGCGTCAAGTCCCTTTTATATTACTAGAAAATGTAACCCTTCATCCAACGATAAGAATAGTGTCAAGGGTCATCATCAGGCAGAATATCACTTAGAAAGTCGCATTTTCATAATACGTTTAATAGGCTGAATATATGGAAGCATCAATACCACAGTTCGAATCACAACAGTCCACACTTGCTGGAGCATTGTTCAAGGGCATAGAAAATGCCTCGTTTTGGGTAGAAGGTGTAACTTATCCGTCTCTTCATCTTCTTCATATTGATGGTCCAACATTCATCCTTCAGTTTCAACATTTATAAAACTTCAATTCAATATTCATTATGCCATTGATTGAAAGGTAATTAAAATCATAAATTTGATGGGAGTTGGCTATAAAAGGGGGTTTGGTCCCTAAGCTCAAACACCACCGAAAATACAAGATACACAATCCAAATTGGAGTGTTGAGAGCTTGGAAGTACCATTACCTGAAAGAAGTAGAGCGTTTGGAACATTATCAATGGCTGGAGGTATGAACTGAATTCTTGGAATTTTCAGTTTTTCAATCTAATTCGCTTCTGCATAATTGTTTAGGATCGATTTTTAGTCTAACATTTGGTATCAGAGCATAATCTAACCTCTGCCTTGATGTTGATGGAGTATTTTGCAAAACAACTCTGTCTTCTCTAATCGAATTTTGTAATTGAAAATAAATTAGAATTTCTCCATGAAATCACTTTTCTGAACTTTGTGTGTCTTCAAACTTAAGTTTTGATGGAGAGAAGTTTGAATTTGAGGCAGGTTCTAGCCGGGTTGATTGTAACCCGTCTAGAGGTTGAAGAAGACTGTTTTTTCCCAAAATGGAGAAGATAACGGTTGTTTTGTGAATTCTATATTTCCTTTACAGTTGTTGGGTCATTATGTATGAGCCCATTTGAACATCATAAGTAATTTTATTGGGCTACACCTATATGTTTTTACTTATTCATGTTTCGTTTCCCTTGAGTTAATTATTGGGCCTACATGATTATTTATCATAGCCAATTATTTATTGGACCATAATCCATGTGTGTTTTACTCATGCAATTATAAATTGGGCCATAACCTATACTATTCGTTGGACCAACTCATAGAATACAAACATGCAGTTCTATTTATGGGCCAATTATGCAATTTATTTCTTAGGCATTTATTTTAATTTTGCATATGATAATTATTTTTGGAATAATGTACGCAATTTTAGGATATATTAAATTGTGAATTATGCTCATATTTAGTTTGCATGAGATAATTATTTTAAATTATTTTATGCAATTTTGTAATGTCTATGAGATTATTTTGTACATAATTATAACATGTTAATTTAAATTCTGCTATTTAAATTATTCTCATATTATATTAATTATTTATGCATAAAAGGATAATGTCTAGTGATCCGTATAATTTTATTTATTTAAGGATTAGTCACAGTATCTTTAATTAAATGAAATTATATATTAAGATCGGGATCACATAAGGATTAAAGACGTTAGATTGTAATTAATTATACTAAATATTATGAATTTTATCCCACGGGAATTTTTGTTATATTTATATGATTAATTAGAATAAAATATCAAGTTATTTCATAATATGCCCACATGAGTTATGAAATGTACATAATTTGATAGTTTTATTATAAAGTTTAAGCGCATGTCTGGGCACGCTATCAAGTAATTAATGGACCATTGACACAGTAGATTCTAATTTAATATTGTTAAATAACCTGACAACAAATCAATCCACTTGCTCCTTACTGTGGCTTGGCCTTCCAATTTTGCCCTTCCACATCTCACACTCAAACCCTCCACTCTTCCATTTTTATAGAAACGAAATTCCCTAATCGGCCAGTAATTTCTTCCTCTTTCACCGGCGGCAACAGCATGGATCTGATTGAAAACTCCCTACAGGTTCAAAAGAACCATGGATCTATATTCTACCTCGGTTAGTGTCAGAAATCTGCCTTTCTTTTCTACAGTTTTGCAAATCGAATTCCTCTTACAAGAACACGCGACGACGGAAAAATAGATTATAAAAGTAATATTAACTTTGAACTACCTATTCAGTAATATAAGATATCTACAACATAGCAACAGTTCTTGATTTTCTCTCGCACACACCCTTTTCTTGGTAAAGTACCCTAATATTCTAACTTATGCATATAAATTGGAACTAGAATTTAAAATTTTGTCGTTTGATTCTTCTTTTTTCAATTTTGTAATGAAATCGGACAATAATATGCTTCTAAATGTTTTCGAATCGGGGATTTATATGAATTTTGATCTTCATTATGGAATTACAAGTGTTTGTAATTTTTCTTTGAATATTGTTTTGTACTAAATTTGTGAAATTTTTTAATGGCATTTATGGTATAATTATATGTTATTGAGCAGAGAGGATTCATGGGTTTGTTTTTGAATGGGAAATACATGAATTTGTGATATAATGTTCTATTTTTTTTTTAATGAGGATGTGTAATGAGAAAGATTGTTTTTGACATTACATGTTTCCTTCATTTTAATTTCAGTGTTAAGTGCTCAATTTGTTTTCTTAGGGTTCATATTAGTATTTTTTTTGTTGATTAATTCTTTTAGGTTCTTTCATACGGGGTTTGGAATGACGAGAATTCGAAATCATGTTCTATTCTTATTATTGAATCTACACCACATGTCCGATGACTTGCACATCTATGTTACTTGTTCTAAGACTTCGTTGCACATATTTTCCAAAACAATTCCGTCGGGATAAGTTCCTAAGCCGATACTGACGAGCCAAACATACTGTTTTTTTTGTTTTTCAAACTCTATTTCCTTTCTAGTGGTCAGTAGTTGTAGTGCTGTTATAAATTTAAAATTTTGTATGTTTACATGTAACAAAACTCCGTATCTCATGTATATTTCATTTTCCTTCTCAAACGCATATGGGCTTCCACACTGCCTCGACTTCCAACCGCCAACCAATCTAGCCCCAAGCCCGTGCGAGGAGGACTCCAGTGGACGTCAGAAGATAATCGAGTCTTCATTGCCACCTGTGAGACTGTAATAGCAAACGTGCACCATAGTGGGAAGTGCTTCACGAAACATGGCTGGCACACGATTGTCCAATTGTTTGACACCAACTCCATGCACGATTGGAATAAGCAGTAGTTGAAGAATCATTGGGATTATCTTCGGGTCAAGTATGAACGTGTCCAGGACTTGATAGATAGCACTGGCATCGCATATCACTCTGCACGCGACCGTCGAGTCGCGTACGACGAGTGGTGGGTGCAAAAGATTAAGGTACAAATCTGCTTAAATTACTACTTACCAAATTCGAATGTCAACCAACACCCTAGTACTCGTTTCATTTGTGCATGGAACTTTCACTCAAATGTGTCACAGTTGGAGCGTATGTCATAAAATTCAGTTTGCGTAATTCTGTATTTTTATTCCTTACGCGGCTCCTTACTCGTGCATTTATTTTTCTTCCATTCTGAACAGAAGAACAAAGAGTACAGAGAGTTCAAAGACAAAGACTGCAGAGAGATATATGCCTACCGGGTCTTGTTCGTCGATGCGTTCGACAGCGAGAAGTATACGACGACGTCGACGAAGTTGTGCAAGACTGGGTTCGCTATGTTCGAAGATAGTGCAAACGAAGACACGCGTGACGCAACATCGATGTGCGATGAAAGCGGCGACTCCAGTGATGAGGGCGACAAGTTAGACAGGCCCACATCAAGCATGGACGTCTCCGACCATATGAGTGGAGAGAAATGTAGATCCGGTGACAGTAAAAGCAAGGAGAAAAGAACTAAAATATCGGCTAAGGAATTGTCGTACTCACTTGACAGAGCCACGACCGCAAGTGAGAAAGTTGTAGCAAAAATCAACAACTTAATCAGATCCAATGTTTCGAGCATGAATACATGCATGACAGAGTTGTTCGCAACGAGCAGGCTGCAAAAGAAAACTAACATCTACTTTTGGACCTTGCACGTTTCTATCTTTAAAGCGGAACAGGGAGGTCTTGGAGATGAAGGAGGATGCGAACGAGAAGATGGATTGGTTGGAGTGGAACTGGCATGAATACAGGAAAGGACGACCGCAGTGACGACTGCGTGTGGGGCTGAATAAATTTTAACCGTTGTGGAGGGTCTTTGCGGAATAGGTGTTTGCTTTGTTATTTTTTTATTTTCATCGGTGTGCGCTTCGTCAACTTTAGAATGTTGTTGTTGTTTACGTTTTAAGATTTTCTGTATCTATGTATGTAGTAGGAACTACTGAGATTTCATGTCCATGTTTGTCATTTGTACTTATGCAATGTTCACAAAGTTGCTTGTTAGTTTGAGTTTGTCAACAATTGTCATGCATAATTGAGCATCTCTGACAACCCATCTATGCTATAAAGTTCAATAGATAGGGGAATCTCTTCACATTTTGTCAAACTGCACAGAGAATAATTCCAGCAGTTTAATATTGCATTATTAAGTAATTCTTTAAAAGGGGGACTTCACAACTTTCATTGCAGCAACGAATGACTATGCTCATTTGATAGAGAGAGAGAGAAAAATGTTTTGGCTATCTTCTTACCTTCCAAGTAGGTAAGGAATTTCCCTACATAGTGAGGGACATTGGTAATGGCGCATATGGAGCTCGACTGTGTGCGTCTGCCGTTATCTGATAATGAAGATGAGATTGGTGAAGAGGAATTCATGCAACTGCTTGAAGATGACATTGTTCAGTAGTTTCGGTATTGCTGAATTTCGAAAATTGATGTTGCACACTACTACCGTCGGCAGAGATGTCGAATTATTCAATTTCCATTCGCAAGGAACAGGCACATGTTCATGCTCAATGCGATGCAATGTAGTCCTCAACAGTGTTATGCAGAATTTAGAATGTACCTACCCATGCTTAGAAGATTCACACACATACTTCGGGACAATTACGGACTATGCAACTGCCCGCACGTAGACGTGTATGAACAAGTATGAACGTTTTTGTGCATATTAGCGTATGGAAAAAGGTACCAACGGGTTCAGATGTTGTTCAACCATTCATTGGAAACAATCGACCACTACTTTAAGCACGTGCTGTAAGTAATTCTTGAATTTAGTGCGAGTCTCATAAGACCAAATCCACAGTACAATCACTGTGCCGAGCATCACGTACAGGATCCAGACAAGCATTCGTTGTTCCGAGATTGCATTGGTGCGATTGACAGGACAAACGTCAGAGCAATCTTGTCCCCAAACGAACGCATGAATTTTATCGAACGCAAAGGAGTCCCGGCACAAAATGTTCTTGTCGCATGTGATTTCAACCTGTACTTTACGTTTGTGCTCGCGGGATACACGGGGACGATGCATGATGCATGGATGTTAGCACGTGCTATACATAGTCCGAAAATTCATTTCTCGCTATCGGGTCTCGAAAAATACTATCTTGTGGACTTAGGATTTGCCTATAGACCTGGGTACATGGTTCCGTATAAGGTGTTAGATATTTTGTACCATTTCCAGTAGTTCTACAATGCTCAGACGGGTAGGAGGAGAAATTTTCGCAACGCGCGTGAGCGATTCAACTTTAAGCACTCGTCCTATAGAAACGTAATTGAATGGGCATTCAGTATATGGAAAAGTCTATTGAAAATACAGGATCGTATGTCGTGCTACAATTTTAAAGTACAGATCACAGTCGTAGTGTCGACCATCGACATCCACAACTTCCTCCGCCGGGCAAGAGTGGTCGACGAGACATTCACGCAAGTTGAGATAGACCCCGACGGATCATAAGTAGAACTACCGGACGCATACGAATAGGTCACCGCGGAGATGAACACACCGATAATGCAGCGTAACGAGTGTGATCGTTTTCGTGATTGGTTGACTCAAAGTGGTGGACGCGCTTAACAGTTTCTATTCTCATTCAATAGTTGTATCTCCAGTAATCAGTTCAAGTATGGGTAAGCCATGTTTTCATTGTGAGTGTTGTGTGTTAACATAAATGGCAAATTATTATTCTCGTGTTCAATCGATTTTCGTTTATATTTTATGTATGGAATGGGTACGTTTTTGGGCGGGGCAGGTTTATGAGAGAAGACGTTGTAATATTTTTATTTCTGTGTTATGTGTGCAATCCCACATTTTTAGGCATTTGGGTGGGTCCAGTGCATGAGAAAAGTTAAAGATGAATTTTGAAAAGGCCGCAAATGTTTCTTTTAGCCTCAACAATGAGATCACATGCCAAAAGGGTCAAAATTGTCCATTCACACAAACCATTTTTTAATTGTTGTATGCAGAAAGTGTGTGGGACCCGACTTTGGACATTTTCAACGGTCACAATTTCGCAGATCAGCTTGCCCAGAGAAGTGCTAACTTGGGATAGAATATCTTCATATGAATTAAGTGCATAAATCAATAATTCTATTATAAGGAATAATTGGATATGATTGAATTAAAAATTTAGCCCACAGGCAATTTTTATGTCATTATATTCAATATCAGCATGAATTACATTGGTAAAACATGTAATCTATTCAATTAAGCATCAAGTTAACAGAAGCAATTTTAAATACTATGTAGTTTCACAACCTGCTAATTTCTCTGATATTCGTTGTGATATTCTCAAATTAAAGGGTGACAACTATAAAGTATGGAAGGAGAGAATTCTTCTCCATTTAGGCTAGATGGATATTGATAGTGCTATTAGGAAAGACAAACCACCTAAAATCACTGATACTAGCACTGCAGTAGACATCGGGCTTTATGAAAAATGGGAGCAATCTAATCGTCTCAGTGTGATATTCATAAAAACTAAAATTTCTGCTGGTATGCGTAGTTTTGTCGATCAACATGACAAAGTCCAGGACTTGATAAAGGCCATTGACAATCAATTCGTCACTTCAGATAAGGCACTGGCAATCATCCTTATAATGAAGTTTTCATCCTTAAAGCTCACCAATGTGAAAGGTGTGCCCGAGCACATCATGCAAATGAGAGACATTTCAGCTCAACTTAAGAAACTCGAGGTTGAGATGTCTAAATCCTTTCTTGTGTATTACATATTGAATAGTCTCCCACAAGAGTATGGACCTTTCAAAATCTCATACAACACATAAGGATAAATGGTCAATTAATGACTATGTGTGTTCAATAAGAAAGAAGACTAATAATGGAATAAGGTGAAAGTGCAATGTTGACTACAACCCATAAGGAAGGGAAATCTCAAGCCAATCAAAAAGGGAAAGGTAAAGTCCCACCCAAGCTGATATTAAGAAAGAGGTCAAGTGTTACTTCTGTAAAAAGAAGGGACACGTGAAGAAAGATTGCGCCAAATTCAAAAAATGGCTTGAGGATAAAGGTAATCCAACCTCATTTGTTTGTTATGAATCTAATATGGTTAATGTAAATGTTAACACCTGGTGGATTGACTTTAGATGTACAATCCATGTTGCAAACTCCTTGCAGGGTATGCAAAACCTAAGGAAGCTAGTGAAAAGTGAGCAAAATATCTTATTCGAAAATAAGATGGGCTCATGGGTGGAGGCTATAGGAACATGCATTTTAACTTTAAATGGTGGCTTTGCTTTGAAATTAGATAGGACCTTTTATGTTCCAAGTTTTTCATGAAAATTGATTTCTATTTCTAGACTTGTACCCTTGGGATATTCCTTTAATTTTTCTCACACGTCATTCAGTTTATTATATAATTCTAATTGAGTTAGGAATGATACTTTGTCTGATGGTCTTTATCGTATTAATTTATAAAACAATATCACTTATAATTTAATGCATGTTCATACTGGCACTAAACGGTGTAATATTAATGAAGACTCATCTATGTTGTAGAATTGGAGATTAGGACATATATCTATAGACAGAATCAAAAGATTAGTGAATGATGGGATACTTAGTACTCTAAATTTCACTGATTTTGACACGTGTGTGGATTGCATTAAGGGAAAGCAGACCAACAAGTCCAAGAAAGGTACCAACAGGAGTTCAGACCTATTAGAAATCATACATACTAATATGTAGTCCAGACATAGACTCACATGGTCAGAAATACTTCATCACCTTTATTGATGATTATTCGCGATATATGTATTTCTACTTGCTTCATAATAAGAACGAAGTATTGGATGCTTTTAAAACCTTTAAGGCTACAATAGAGAAACAACATGAGAGGTAGATTAAGATTGTAAGATCAGAAAGAGGCGAAGAATATTACGGTAAATACACAAAGGATGGATAAGCACCTGGTTTGTTCACTAAGTTTTTTCAAAAGCATGGGAT